AAAATAACGGAGAAGCAGTTGAGGAAGTGGTTCAAGTACCTCAGGGTCGTGTTAATGGTGACGAAAAACTGAAGGAAGAGATTGATCGGCGAATTGAAACAAAGAGCGGTGTTCTTCATGAATTAGTCCAAATCGTTATGATTAAAAGAACTGAATCTGAAGTCTAAGCTGTCCGTGTTAATCTAAGTCGATCTTAATTCCGATGCTCATCTATGGTAATGACTAAAAAAAATTCGATCGCGAGTACAAGGAGGTGCAAGAGGACTTCTGAGATGAATTGCTGTTTTCACACGTCATGGTATGGTACGAGGTGTACAGCCGCTGCTTCTCCAGATTAGAAGAAGGTTTGGACAAGTATTGCGAATCGGTCCTGAAAGCAATGGAAGGCATTCCCAGAAGCTCCCGGGGAGGCCAAGTGACACACTGCTTCTCATTCGAGTTATTTTCTGCAGACGTTCAAACGCTGGCACGGGTTCGTAAACGTTGGAGAAACTGTCTGAAATGTCTGTCTCTACGACCCGAAAAAAAAACGCAATCATGGAAACTAAATGATTGACTGACTACAGTATTCACTCAGGTAATAAAATCGTAGACTGCTGTTTGTGTTCTTATTCATTCATTCATGCTCCTTTTCTTCTTCTTATTTTAAACATAAACCTTTCCATTCTGCACTGATTAGTCTGCAGTTTATACATAGCGTTCAGGTTTGGGGCAACTGGAGAGCATACTGATCGAATGCTTTTCGTTTAAAGCACAAAAAAACAACGCCGAAGAAAACTACTTGAACTGGAAACCGAAAAACGAAATATTTATTAGGTTCGAACGGTGTTGTTTTATCGACAGGTTAATAATAAGTTTCGGTTCAATTACTAGCAGCCATTACAGCTTTGTATCTGCATAAAGACTTATTCTAATGGTTATAAAACAACAGAATACAGCGACAACTATTTATTTAAAAAAATGCTAGATTTCTGGATTTGACAGTCAACCGCCAAATTTCGATATGCTCGATAGGCATGAAAACTTCATGCATCCACTGGGCATTATACACGTTGGGCTTTAACGAGTACGTAAATAAAAGCACAGCTACTTTGAACACCCAACAAACTCCCTTACTGATTGCTGTCAAGTGACCATTTGAGGCTCCATATTATTTGTGCTTGTGCAATGCTATGTGAATTGTACATTAATCTACTCGGTAGTGCCATCTCTTGCCAATCTCGACAATCAACAACCTTAAAGTAAATTGTACTCCTTATATGGTACCACACAAACATGAAAACTATGGTTTCGTAGCGCAGTGGGTGAACAGACACTCACCTGAAACGCATCAACTTTCGCAATGACTAAGTAATTGCTTAGCGAAAAAAATTAAGCAACGTGCATCTGTTACAGCAGGTGTACTCAACTACCACGGAGTCGCGGCCTACTGAAAGCCTCCCCTTCCCTCCCCCTACCCTTCCTTTCCAGCAACAACGATGCAATACGATGCAAAATCCGGTTTTGGATCAAGAAATCAATGGGCGTAAAAATTTTTTTGCACAACACCGAATGGCAAAACACTGGATCTGGATGGATCGAACATCTGACATGACAGAAAATGCATCGAATATCCGAAGGTCACCGTAACTCAGTTTAAACAATGACGAATACCGACGACACTAAATCGCGTCTGCCATCGGTGAATCACACAAAAATGACCGAACTGCGATGGTTTACGAAAACAGATTTTCAACTAATCTGGTCGATGACGCACTTACCTCGTTGTTCGAAGTGAGGACAGCGCTATGAAGGCCGCCAGCGGCAACCTGCACACAACGCGGAACAGCAGGCGGTTTCTTGATGCATTTTGTGAACTCGCACGTCAGCGCTTCCTCTCCTAATCCTAATTGCCCGGTCTCGCCGTTGCCACAGGTTATGACCCTACCGATTTCTTTCTTGACAAACATATCACTTGATAGGAACGCCTTCTTCAAACGACCTTAAATGATCGTCACTGATTTTGAATAAAATAGTAAAGAAGAGTAAATAACTACCTTTGGATATCGGCTTCGTCACAACCTTAGCCTTTGTGACAGGTGGCTTTAACAACGACCGATCTACGATGCCACGTGGATTCTTCGCTTTCTTCGACACCTAAACTTCACATTTTCGCAGTTGTTAACGAAAACAAATTCTACTACCTTTCTTGACAATGGACGCTTTCCCATTTGTAAGTATTTTCAAAGCAAACAGTCCCACGAACTAAACTTTTCTCCCGCAATATAAATCCCCATTTATGACGAAAGCAGGCCCGAAATGAATTC